TCTCTCTCTCTCTCTCTCTCTCTCTCTCTGCCATGTGAGGACAACAGTGAGAAGGAGGATGTAGGCAACCCAAGAGGAGAGCCCTCACCAGATCCCAACCCTGCTGGATATATCTTGGACTTCCAGTCTCCAGAACTGTCAGAAACAAATTTTTGTTGTGTAAGCCACCCAGTCTATGTTATCTGGTTATGGTAGCTTGAACAACCTAATACAATAATGAGGTGGAAAGGGGAGGTGGAAAAGAGATTATTTTAAAGGGAAGATAGAAAGCTCATTTTGAATCACAATTGAATACTACTGTTCTAAAGATAACACTGCTAAAGAATTTAACAATACAATAGCTCTATATAGCACCCACCTTACAAAATACTGAAATGACTTATCTGTCTTCACAAATTAAATAATAACAAACAGAAACAAAGCCTCTATAATTAAAGAGTCACTGAAAAAATACCATGCATGATATAAATGGATCTTAAATTTTAACTCCTTTCATGCTATAAAGTCATTTCATAATACAATATCAAGAAATACTTTTCATATTTAGGAACCTTTCCATATTAAAGAAACTTTCCAATATTTCCAAACTAATCTCTTAAATTAAATCTATTAAAACTCTTGATATATTAACTCTTACCGTAACCCATTCCTTTGGTCAAATGCAGGAATCATAGAATTAGGATGTTCTGACATTAATGCAACAAGCAGCTGTAGGACATCCATGAGATTGTCATCCTACAATCATTTGAGAAATTTAAAAATTAAAATGAGGTAAAAACAACTTATTTGAATAATGAATACTTCTGAAACAATAGAAATTTCAACTTCAGAAAAATAAGTAGACATACCTACAGTATATATTTATTTGTAACAAACTGTGTTCTTTAAATACACACGTTCATCTCTATAACTCAAAATACACATCATCAATAGTCAATTTCTTAATCAAACAAATAAAATACCTTTTATGTTATAATGAATCAAGATTTTCTAAAACATATTCTACAGAAACAGTCGATCTGACTTACAGACTTTTTTTTAAAGGAAGGTTTATATAGCAAGAAATTGAGAGGAAAAGGGAAACTAAATTGTTCTTTTTTATTACAGCAAAACATAGTAGAGCCTTTAATATACCATAAATGTTGTAAATCTAGTGGTTGTGGTGAGGGCAACATATTATATACCATTTCCTAAACTTATTTAACCTGGAATATTTTGTTCACTGTGCCTCCAAGAAACTAGTTCTAAAAGAACACTTTTTGGGAAAAATAAAAACTGAATAATTCTCATATACAGTATAATATATTGTCAGTATTAAAGATGAAAATGATCAAAAAGCATTTATTGAGCCAACATATTACTATAGGTGGTACAATTTGAGAACATATTCAGAACATCAGCACAGGAGTATATATGAGTTCTAGACCCCAAAACATCTTCATGAAAACTCCTCAAAGTCTTTGTTGGATATTCCAGTATGTATACATATCATTAGGGGAAACTTGGGCAATACTGACCCAAAAAGGAAAAGGGAAGCAGCTATCAAAGGTTAGTTGACTTAGATGCCCTGACTTTAGGTTTTCCTTCATTGCTTTTGAAGTTTTGCTATGGAAGCTATTTGTACCCTAATTTTCAGTAAGTTAACAATCTAGAGCTAGGGCACTGAATCTTTGAAAAAGTATTATTTGGAGGACCTGAAAGATCCCCGAAAACAGAGGACCATTGGGATTTCCAGTTTATCTCTTATAAAGTACATTTGGTCTCTTAGGGTTAATAAAAAACAAAATCACATATAATAACAGACTGCTAGTAAATTCTATTGAAAACTCTGCAGCTATTATATCAAGTCAGGAAAATCTTTAAAAAATAACAGAATACCCCACTCAAAAGAAAAAATATCAAAATCAGTTAACGATTTGGAGTCAAATATGATCCAATCAAGAAATTTAAGCCACTATTTTATGCCCCAATTAACAGATAGGTCCAACCATTATCTCTCATTTATTATTAAAGAAGGCACCATTCTATACTAAAATACATTTATTCAGAATGCATGAATAATACTATAAAAATGCAAATTACCATTTAAAATGCTGCAACATACATTATTCCATCAATTCCTAAATTTAACTTATTTATGCCTTAATTTAATCATGTTATTTAGATATATTATACCTGGCATATATTACATTTTCTCGGTACTAAAAAATAAAGGAAAAAAAAACAGATATTTCAATCTACTTAATTTTCAACCTGCCTTTCAACCACATAATTTTAAATTACATTACAAACAAGTTATTTAACTTAATATTTGAACATGCAAAGTCAGTCAGAAGATTGTTGTGAATTTTTAAAATCCAATCCTTTTTAGTCATTTTCACAATCTATTTTTCAATTTGTTACACTGGTTCCTAGAAATACACTGAAAGTATGCTTTGGTATACTTTATTATTAATTCAACAGAATCTAATTTTAACACTGTTTAAATCCTTTCATGATTATTATCTCAAGAGCCATCCTCTGGTAATAAAGGATACTTAAATGAGGATTGCTAGGATTTAGTTCCTAAATAGATATATTTACTCCCCATTATAGTTAATATATAATTAATAGAGATTTTCTTAAATTTTTACTTTAAAAAAGTCCATAATGCAGCTTCAAAAAGTAAAATCCCAAAATATGAAATTCAAATATTACCTCATGCATAGTCAGTAGGTAATTAAGAATGGCCTGTAATTCATCTTCTTTTACTCCAGAATCCTTTAAAAACATAATACAATTACCTGAAGCTTACATTTTTAAGAAAAATATTTTCAAAAGGGAAATTATACACATAGATTTGTCAAGTTGATCAGCTGCTATAAATATAAAAAGATAATGTAATATAGAATCTAAATTTAAAATAAAAAACTGAGGAAGCACTAAAGACAAACAGTATTCAAAACTGTGTAGAAGTCGAAAGAGATTTAACATCAGTATCCTGTTTTCGACACTTTATATAATAGGATCGCCTACTTAGTAAAGCTACAGAATCCTGAAGTAGGCAAAAATAATAAGTAATGATAAATAAAAGAGTAATAGCCATACCTACCACTCCTCTAAATACAGATGATATACTTGCTATTTAAAATTAAATTTAGAGGATAAAATGAGCAGTTTCTAAAATTATCAAGTTAAAATGTAAAGTACCTAAATAATTTTGCTGGGAGAAAACACTGCACTTTTAAATATGAGCTCAGTATGAAAATTTTCAACATACTCTATCAATATATGAATCATTTTTAAAAGCTACAGTCTCCAAAAATAAACAAGAAAGAGACCTGGCAAACAACAAAAAAAGGAAAAACTAGAAAAATGAGTAGAAAAACAGAGACAATTCAAGGAATTTTTTTAAACAAATGGAAATAAATTATTTGAGTTGGAAAGGTGTACTAAAAGTTAAATCCACTTGCCACAATCTTATATGAAAGCTAATAAAGCATTATAAAGTAAAGAATAAGAAATAAAATTATATAGGAAAATAGTGAATAAAATATTGACAACAAATACATTTATATATTGCTATCTCATAATACCAAAATGCCTTCTTTAAAAATAGTATTAAATTTTGCTTTCCCTGTAAAAGAATGAAAAGGGACAAATGTGATCGTTTCTACAGGCTGCCATACCTATCTAGTGTATTTATACAGAAATATTATTTCTCAAAATCAGAATGTCAGATACAAGGAGTTCCCTAAAAATGAAACCTCCTTTAACACCTTTGTTGAATACTGTATTGCCAGTGTCAAGAATAGTACCAAATAGTTAACAGAAATTCAGTATTTATTTGCTGAATGCAAGAATGAAAACACTTGAGCTCCTACAGAAATTCATATAACATACAATTACCAATCTCCAGTTATGCAATTATTTATGTCATATATGCCCAAAAGAAAGAACCAAAAAACAAACAGACAAACGTCTTTCAAAGGACTTTCCAATGTGTAACTGTCATAAAAAAGAATAAATAAACCAAGATTGGATTTCATGTGAAATTATAAGCTGCGCTACATAGCATGCTATAGAATAAGCAATATGAACTCACCTTCATCACTAATTGTTTAATGAACATCAATAAGAATGCTCGCAGAGAAAGTATTTCTTTTTGATTAGGTCGTGGTCCATCTTTAAAAAAATACACATACACACACTTAGTATTTCAAAGACCTCAAAGCTGTCTAACTATAAAATTCTCATTCCCAATAACTTTTCCATCTATTTATAAGAAACATAAGGGTCAGTCTCCTAAAGAGTAATCTCTCTTTTATGGCTCTAGAAAAACAAGCATTCAATCTCATATGCAACTGTACATACAATACTCCTAATGTACAAAATAGGTTATGTTAAAACTATAATGAAGAACTTTGTACTTTGAATAGGTCAAAGAATTCTCAAAACATAAAAATGAACTAACAAAATTTGTATTCAGAAATAACACATACTTAAGGCCAGGCGCGGTGGCTCACGCCTGTAATCCTAGCACTCTGGAAGGCCGAGGCGGGCGGATTGTTTGAGCTCAGGAGTTCGAGACCAGCCTGAGCAAGAGCGAGACCCCATCTCTACTAAAAAAAAAATAGAAAGAAATGATCTGGACAACTAAAAATACATAGAAAAAATTAGCCGGGCATGGTGGCACATGCCTGTAGTCCCAGCTACTCGGGAGGCTGAGGCAGTAGGATCGCTTGAGCCCAGGAGTTTGAGGTTGCTGTGAGCTAGGCTAACGCCACGGCACTCACTCTAGCCAGGGCAACAGAGTGAGATTCCGTCTAAAAAAAAAAAAAAAAAAAAATAACACATACTTATGTTTTGTTTCGAGACTCTTTGAGAGTATTAGTAAGATAACAGAAGTTTACAAAGAAAAAAAGGGAAATCTAAACTTTGAACATTAATATTATATGTGAATTCAGTATGAAAAAATTTTCTCCTATTGTTACCACTGTATGAGCTAATACAAAAATCTCAAAAAAGAGTGCCTCATAACACAGTATCGTTCATGAAGAAAGGAAACATTATGTTGACTACCTCTGACATCTCATTCTCTGCTTCAAAAAGTCCTTGGTCACACATGGCTCACATTAAGTCAATTTTTGTGTCTCAAATATATAATTTCCAAGTAGAAAGCTTTTGAAACCAAACACCTATTGTTCTAAGATCCTACGTGACGGGACTGTTTGCCTCATATAATTCATAGTTTTTCCCCCACTAATCACTATTTACAGCTAGTTCCTAGACCACCCAAGCATAGGACTACCATGACCTTGAACAGATCAATTAAAATACAAAGAAAATTGTTTAAAATTTGTTCCACATTATGATTTCTTGACAAAGGATTGGCTAAAGAGTTAAAGTAGAATCACAAAATTTGTCCAGCTCTCTCATTTGAAGTATAAGACTTTCCCAAGGTCGCTAGTCAGTTACAAAATGAAGGCCAGAATACAAAACTTGCACCTAGGACAGTACATGATACACCTAGAGCACCACCAAATAGTCATCAGGACATTCTGACTTGGTTCTAGATCTGCCACAATTGCCAGCTTAAATAAATCATATAACTTTTTTGTACCCTCACAGCTTTCTAAATTATAGATACCATATTCTGTGAGAATAAACCAAGTTTATTTTGAAAGTGACATAAAAAGTATAATACAAATATGAAACCTTGTCTTTGTAAATCACCGAACAACCAAAGCCTTTGACCACAATCAGAATACATGTTATCTGTCTCCCGGGCATCTATTTCCTAATTTCAAGCAACAGCCCTTAACTTTTATCAAGGGACTGATGCCATCTTCACTCTCAGACCATGTATTTCAATGTGGGGTGGGGGGGGGCTCCATGTCTGAGCAATCAGAACAATTACTGCCACAGAGATGGGCATATGATACAATCAGAGCCAATGAGCAACAATGAGACTAAAAGAGATTTTTATTGAAATACTTGATATAGGCAGATGCTCTTTTGCTAGATTTAAAGTAATGGGGATGTGAAGGTGTATGGGCTGCTTGCTACTACAAAGAGAGAGAGTATGTGAAAGCAGCCAACACAGAAGGAGAATTGGTAAATATGGAGAGACAAATAAGATTCTACAGCCATATTCTGAATAAGTGTACAAAGTTGTACCTGAAACTGCCAGTTTATACGAGCTCATTAATTCCCTTTTCATTGACGTAAGCCAGTTTGAAGGAGGTTTTACAATAGCTACAACCAAAAGAACCACCATGTGTCAAAAGTTTTATTTTGACCTCTTCTATGAACTGCTGACATGACAAAAGAATATTACCCTTTTAGTAACTTAGTTCTGATTATGCAGGAAAATAATTACTGAAATTTTGTAATTTTCTTATATCTTTAAGAGAAACAGATACCCCCTACTTCTGCAAGAAATCTCTCTCTCCCCAAAACACTATTTTCAATGAATCTCATTGTGATAACTGATTTCAGCATCAATACCAATAAATAATTAATAATTTCTTCTTGTTTTCAGTGCCTTGCACCAACTATCCCACTCACATTTCTTCCCCAAACAACTCATACCAGCACAAATAGTGTTCTTCCACACAAGTATCAAGTTATTAACCTACAGCAACCACAACTTAGAACAAACTATTTAAATTATCAATGAGCTTAAAATAAAATTCTGCCATAATGAGATTTAGAAAAACTGCCGAATAATAGTATAGGTTAAAACAAAAAAGAAAAACAAAATCCTGATTTGACATATGTGTAACATGATATATACAGACAGAGATGGTATACCTAATCCTTTTGGAGTGATACCACTTCGATCCTGAGGATTCACTGTCCAGTAGTAGTACTTCAGAGTGTGCATGATGAGAAGCACCGTTCCAACTCTCCGAATGGTGTTATATATGTTGACTGTACCAATGAATTCCGTGGACAAGTAAGTATAGAGCATCAACTGAACCTATAAAATCAAAATGAAGAACTTAAATCAAAGAAGCCCACCAGCATTTTACCTGTTTCCAGTAACATCCTCAGGCTGCTTACTTGTTCCAAAAAGTAAGATGCTGAGCTTGACGATAACATCCATGTTAGATAACACACATCCACTGACACAGAAGCACGCACACACACACACACACACACACACACACACACACACACACAC